CCCATGCGAGACCCTACTCGAAACGGTAAGAAATATTTGGTGTCTTTCATTGATGACAAGAGTCGTTTCTCGTGGTCCTTTTTCATCAACACCAAGGATGAAGTGCACAAGTGTTTCAAGCAATGGCTAGCACTTGTTGAGAGAGAGTCAGGGAAGAAGTTACTCACCTTGAGGTCGGACCGAGGAGGTGAGTACATGGGGAAAGCATTTCAGGGGGAGTTGTTGGCATTGGGCATCAAACAACAGTTCACTTGTCCCTATAGTCCTCAGCAAAACGGAGTGGCAGAGAGGTTTCATCGCACTATTCAAGCTATAGCTACCACTTTTCTTCAGTTTAAGGGCCTTGACAAGCTCTGGTGGGGTGAGGCAATCACTATGGCAATTTATGTTCGCAACAGGAGACCCACAAGGCCCCTACCGGATGGTGTAACGCCATATGAGGCTTGGTTTGGAGTTAAACCAGATCTTTCTATGCTTCGTGTTTTTGGTTCCATGGCCCAAAACCGTGTTCCAGATGCAAAGAGACTCAAGCTGGACAGCAAAGCTCATTGGGGCCTCTTCATCGGCATGAGCAACGAGAGCAAGGGATGGGTCCTTTGGGATCATGTCACCAAGCGAGAAGTGGTTTCAAGGGATGTTGTCTTCTATGAAGACATGTCCCTTGCAGGTTGGCATAAGTTTTCCTCTTCCTCCTCTCTACCCTCTATCCAACAGGAACCAGCAAGCGCACATGAGGAAACAACACAAGAGGAGGAAGAAGATGACACAGATTCTGACCATAGCGGACCCATCATCGATCTCCCTCAAGCCGTCGTCAACGAGACCAGCCGTGCCACATCAGCGCCACCAGCAGCTACACAACCAAGTGGAGATGAAGTTCAGCCATCAAATGAAGACCATCCACCTCAGGAAGTCACCGTTCCATCACCACAAAGGAGCAGCAGCCATCCGTCACAAACCAGCTAGCTACTTCAACACCTACTCCGCAAGTTCAACGTCCATTGGATCAGCCCACCACTACGCCACCAAACCCATCATCAGCCGCCACTCCAGAGGCAACTACCGACACTCATCATCATCCAATGCAGCAGCAATCAACAGCCACAACACCCCAAGTACCTACATCCACACCATCTACAATTCTTCCTACCAACAAGACAACCATCACCGCAACATCTCGTTCTCACACACGTTCATCACTTCAGGTTCCAACGTCAAGCCAGCTCATAGCACGAGGATCACTTCAGCGAGTCACCACCAACACCAGCTCCAACAGCCCACTTCTTCACCTAAGACCTTTCTCAACTTCACCCCCACGTCCCGGAATTGGCCGTCATCAGTTACCGCCATCTTCAACACCGAGAAACAACACCAATCAGCCCCATTCATCATCTCCTCTTGACAACGCAGCGTCATCATTAATCCCCAAGCTTCTAGTCTCAAGATCCCCACCAAGAGCACCTTCACAACCAACTATGCCCACGAACGTTTCAGCTTCACCGCCACGAGCCATCACTCCTATTCCTCAAGTCAACACTGATAATAGAGAGAGTTCCACGCCGGGAGAAGATCATGCAGCCGTGCCGCTGTCGCAGCGGACGTCGCAGCCGTTGTCTCAGCCGCAACTGACAGTGTCAACGCATCCAAGCACTGTGAGACCGAACCCTACTACTGATGTGTCTCAGTCAAGTGAGGAGTTGGGTAAAGGTAAACGAGTCCGCAAGGTGAAAAAGCCCTTCACGTTCATGGTTGACATGTCATCAAGGTGCACGTGTGAGGAGAGTGAGAATTGCATTCACAAGAAGGTAGAGGCAATATGCATGGCAGCGTCACACCTTCCACGAGAGCCATTGAGTCGTCGTGAGGCAGTGGCAAGTCCCGAGAGAGAGCATTGGTTGAAGGTCGAGGAAGAAGAGATTGAGAGTCTCATGAAGAGAGGTACATTGCGTCTTGTTGAGCCACCTCCAGAGAAGAAGGTAATTGGTGTCAAATGGGTGTACAAGATTAAGGTAAAAGGTGATGATACACTTGATAGGTACAAGGCAAGGTTAGTGGCAAAAGGTTATTCCCAAATTCCAGGTCTTGACTTCACCGAAACCATTGCCGCGGTAGCGAAGTACACCACGGTACGAGTCCTCCTCGCCATAGCCGCATATCTTGGTCTCCATATCCATCAAATGGATGTCAAGAACGCATTTCTCTACGGTGTCTTGGACGAAGAGGTATACATGGCACAACCCGAAGGTTATGATGATGGTACGGGTCGAGTTTGTCGCTTGGTAAAGTCACTTTATGGTCTCAAACAGTCCCCACGGGCATGGTATCATGCTCTTGAGACGGTACTCTTCAAGCACGGTTTCACAAGGTCCATGAGAGACAACGCGTTGTACTTCATGCACACGAGTAAGGGGGAGTACATTTGGCTGTTGGTATATGTTGATGACCTCCTCCTAGTCTCAGGTTCTCTTGATCTCCTCAACAAGGTGAAAGGTATTCTCATGAGTGCATTCACGATGACCGATCTTGGTGAGCCGAGTCATTATCTTGGTATGAACATTGTGAGAGATCATAAGTCACGGTCCATCTTTCTATTCCAGCAAAGGTACATCCAAAAGGTCCTTGAGAGGTTTGGTCTTGATGATAGCAAGCCATCACCTACCCCGCTTCCTTCCAACTTTGTCCCTCTGTCATCAGATCAGCCCTATGAAGAGACGGAGTCAAGCCTTGACATCACGGGTATTGAGGAGTTGTGTCTTGAGGAGAGTGAGCATCATGGTGAAAATTCACCCAAGGTATCCCCACAAGACCTAGCTCTCTACCAAAGTCAGGTTGGGTGTCTCATGTATGCAGCCCTAGGCACAAGGCCCGACCTAGCATTCACGGTATCCAAGCTAGCTCAACACATGAGTGCCCCATCACCTACCCATATGCATGCAGCCAAGCGAGCTCTTCGGTATCTCAAAGGTACTTCTAATCTTGGTCTTCTCTTCCAAGCCAGCCCACATGCAAGCTCCCTCCAAGGCTTCACCGATGCAGATTGGGCGGGAGAATTGAGCACACGCAAGTCCACCGGCGGCTACATCTTCCTCATGTGCGGTGCCGCTGTTTCTTGGCAATCACGCAAGCAAAGTTGTGTGGCGCTTTCTACAACCGAAGCCGAGTACATGGCAATGACCGAAGGAGCAAGGGAGGCAATCTGGTTACGTGGACTCTTGGAGGACTTGAGGCAGCCGCAAACTCAACCGACTCCGCTCTACGTGGACAACACTTCAGCCATCGCTCTTTCCAAGAACCCGGTTCATCATGGGCGTACAAAACACATCGAGGTGCAGTACCATTTCATCCGTGAGCAACTAGAGCCGTCAACTTTTGCCGTTCATTCGACCAAGCAGCAGATTTCATGACTAAGGTTCTTCCACATGATGCATTCAACATGTGCAAGGCAAGAGCAGGTCTCATGACACTTCATGAAGCAGTGCAGCAGTTTGAGGAGAATGAGGGGTATGAGGAGAAGCAATATGGGCAGAAGCATGGAGTGTATGCCAAAGAGATGTAAGAGGAGAATAAGAATGGGCGTATGTGTGCTTCGGGTCTGGTGCGAGGGGGAGTGTTGGAGAATCAAGTTTCTGCCGCCCCAGCCCTTTGCACACAAGGAGCAGCAAGGGGGGAATGTCGGCGACGGATTGAAGGCTTCGCAAACAAATCAGAAAGTTTCTCAACCAATCAGATTGGAGCCGAATTCTCGATACAGTTCGGAATTGTTTTTAAGAAAAACAGTTTCTACAGGTTTCTACCAAACAAAATCAGCTATGACAGAGAATTCCAGAGCTTTCTTATTCATGCACCTCATGTGGCTCTCAAGTCACTCTCAAGGTTCATGGAATCTGAATTGTGCCTAAGTTCTCCAGGAAGTTGCCTTGTCTAGCAGCCTAGTTTGAGCTATCAATCTGCATGATTGTAGTGCTTAAGAAGTTGTGCCTTAGTGGGCTTGTATAATCTTGAGCATAGTGTAAGTTTTCTCTATTGAGCATAGTGGAAGTCCAGCAGCTCTATTGAGCTTTTCCAGCCTTCCAGTCATCAGAGCTACTCTGTTTTACAATTGTGTTTTCTGTTTCCCGCTCCTTCGTCTGTCTGGGTGCTCAGCTCACAAACCACTTCGGGTGAACCACACGTGACGTGAGTCACAAATTCAGCCTTGGAGTTTGTTTCGATCGAAGCCAATCTCTCGCGATTCCGAATTTCGTGAGATGTAACAGAGCCAGGCGTACTGTTTGGATCGAGTAACGTACTTTTGAGTCGCTAGTGCTCGTTTCGCTCCATATGTGGCTGAAACTTGTGAGACACCCGAGCGTGTTCAGCCAAGTCGCCGAGACGATGCGAACTTTGCGATGAAGGTCAAATGAACCCAAACCTCGAGGACTGTACTCAAAGCCAGAATCGCATAGAGCAGTCAATGAGGCGAACAACAGTTACTCGAAGAGGGACGAAGGAGGTGATCCCAAGAAATCAAGCCCGAGGAACGCGTGAAACTCCGAAATTAACCAGGGAGCTACTTCCCGTAGCGAAAACATGTACCGCGCACTCGGCGAGTGCCGAACCTCGTCAATGAGTCAGTTCCTAACTTTTTCCTACCGAGTTCGTTCGCGGTTGCGCAAGTCGTACGCGCCGATCACGCAGACGAGACGAGGGCGACCCAGTTGAGAGGAAGGAAGCACACCTGGTGTGCCACGCCACTGTCACGAGCGCCCTCAACTGTGATGCCCTGCTCCTCCCGTCTCGTTCGTTCTCGTCAAATCCGTTCTCCCTCATCTCCTTGCCGCTTCATCTCCCCGCTTCTCGGGACCAGACCCTAGTGGTAACCGTTACCATGCAAGACCATTCGAGACGCCAATCGCAGCCTGACGGAGTAAAACAAACACCGCGGTCCGGAACTGACGCCTATCAGTCACGCGAACTGAGAGCTTGATCGCTACAGAGTCACTTGAAAAGATACGGCGATCATGACGAGCCGTCGCCGTGACATGCGACAGCACCTGACTTTCCCGCCATCATGCCTCCTTATCCTCTGCCCCGCGGCATCCACGTGTCGTGCGTGTCTTCCGCCTATGTTCTCGGCAGCAGCAAACGGCTCCCCTCCGAACCCTTTTTGGGAGATCGACTTCGACTGGCTGAGTAACGAGAACCAAATCGCCATGACGCGATTCGCCGTGGCGCAGCACAACGCCGCCAAGGTGAGCCTCGCCTCGCCTCGCCTCGCCTTGCCTCGCTTCGCCTCGCCTCGCCTTGATTCACTCCGAGTGCCAGAGAACTCTCTTGGAACAAGTGTCGTACTCTCGCCTCGAGAGTCCCGATCCAGTGTTGTACTCTTTTCTCTTCAAGCTCATGCTAACTCACCACGGCGCAGCAGAACGAGGCCATGACGAGGTAGGTGCCGGATGACGGGCGACGGGCGACAGGCGACGGATGACGGGCGACGGGCGACAGGCGACGGATGACGGGCGACGGGTGACGGGCGACACTCCACGTTTCAAGAGAACTTTGCTGCTTTGCTTCTCGTCCCCACTGCCGCGTATTCTCTCTCCCGCATTCCCACTGTAGCACAGTCACTCCCTTCCCTTCATTCTTCAACGCTTCCCCTTTTCTTCTCCCCGTCTCCCCTTCCCCCTTCTCCCCTTCTCTCCTTCTATTTTCCCCTTCTCCCCTACTCCCCTTCTCTTCTCCCCTTCTTCCCTTCTTCCCTTCTTCCCTTCTTCCCTTCTTCCCTTCTTCCCTTCTTCCCCTCCTTCTTCCCTTCTCTCCGTCTCCCCTTATCCTCCCCGTCTCTCGCCTCTCTATGTCAGAACGACAGCCTACAGCCAGTCGGAGTTCTCTATGTGGAGCGCGCAGACATTGCCAGCACAGGCAATGGCAGCGCAGGCAACTCAAGCGCGGGCGGGGAGGAGTACCTTGTGACACTGGCGGCTCTCAACCTGCTGCGTGGCCGCACTGCCGTATTCGACGCCCTCCTCTCCCGCCGCCCTCTCGTGGCCGCACAATCCGCGCTCCCTGCTGCTGCCCCTCCACCAGCAGCAGCAGCAACTGCACCCACCTAGCGACAGCGTCTGTTGCAGCAGCAGCAGGGGGAGGAGGAGAGGGAGGATCAGCCGCAGCTGCAGGAGCGGAGGGATGGGAGTACACGTTGAGGTCGTGGGAGCAGCAGGCAGGGTGGGGGCATGCGAGCACGCGGGAGGAGCAGGAGGCGGCGCTCAGGCACGTGGTGCCGGTGACCCCCCCTCCGTGTGGCCACCTGTTGACTTACGTTGACTCCTCAGATGCTGACGTGCGCGCGTGGCATGAGAGGCGGTGGCGAGGGTGAATAAGAGACAGGTGAGTTGCGTTGCTATTAGTCCCAGTCAATCTGGGACGGGATCAACTCTGTCCTTCACCAGTTTGCACTTTATTCTCTTCACTCAGATCCATGATAAGACCCATGCTTAGTCCCATGCTCAGTCCCATGCTCGGTCCCATGATGCTCAAATCCATGCTCAAATCCATGCTCAAATCCATGCTCAAATCCATGCTCAGACCCATGCTCGGACCCATGCTCGGACCCACCATGCTCAGACCCATGCTCAGACCCAGTAACACTGTCTGCTTCCTTCCTCGCCCTCTCTCCAACCCTTTCCCCCCTGCAAGGCAGCGCACTGCTGCTGATGTCGGTGGTGGACGCACAGGTGGTCGTGCCGGCATATAGAGAGTAACCATCCCAAGGCCAATCCCAAGGCCTATCCCAAGACTCAACCACTCTCCTTCCCTCCCCTCCTTCCCTCCCCTCCACACACAGGGAAGCGCGCTCCTGCTGATTTCGGTGGTGGAGGCACAGGTGTTGGTGCCGTCATACAGATACAGAGAGTACAATTTCACACTACTGGCAGCAGATGAGGGCACCGGCATGGCGGCTCATTATGCCACGCACGCACTGGATAACAGCAGCGGCGCCACGCCTGATACTTCACAAGGGGGGAACGCGAGCGGGAGGAGTTCGGTGAATGTGACGGCGTTTGCGGTGGTGCGGGGACGCAGCGGAATGCAACAGCGGGGGAGATGGGCGCGGCGGCAGCAGGGGGGTGTGCCGGGAGGAACGGGAGCAGCAGCAGTGCTGGGTGTGTGTGAATGAGGGGTGGGTGCTCATCCTAATGCCCACTGCCTCATCCCACTGCCTCCTCTAACGCCTCCCCTTATGCCTCTGCAACCACAGCAGCCTCTCCTCCTCCAATGTGACTCTGCTGGATGTGCTTGCAGCGAGGGCGAATGTGGTGGAGGGGGCAGGGATCGACAACAGCGTGACTGTAACAGCAGCAGCGGCGGATGTACCGCCTGCAGCAACGGCACCTGCAGCAGTGCTGACTGCGCCTGGAATCAAAGCCAAGGCAGCAGGCGAGGGGGCAGTAGACGAGGGAGGGCCAAGGGAGCAAGTGGTGGTGGTGAAGGTGGTGGTGTGGCAGCCGGTGCCCTTCACAGGTCACCGCCTGGTTGACTTCTTTTCTCCTGGATGCGGGAGGTGGTGAGGCGAGTGGAGGGGCGAAGGGCTCTGTGTCCATTGACTGTGCTCCCCCACCCCCCACTCACATCCTCCTTGCTGACTGCATGGGAGTTGTAACATTGCTTCGTGTGCTTCTCTCCCTTGGGCCTCGCGCTGGCTCTCCTGTTGCGATGGTATCATGGGTGGGTGCCGTTTGTGTCGCTGTAACACTGTCACCGTTGGCAAAGTCAATGCTTCACTTAACGTACACACACGACCCCCCCAATCTGGAGTTAGAGTCTCATTGTTGTGGTTACACGTGTGCGTATCTCCTTTTTACAGAGGGATTAATGGGTGAACTCTCTGCGCCTTGCTGGATGTAGGAAGCAGGGCCTACGTTATCAGGATAATTTATCCTGATTCTCCTGAATTCAGGATAGGTGTTTAGTGCCTCTCCTGTAAAAACAGCATAATGCAAATGTCTGTCCTGTGATATCAGTATAATGGTAATTTTTCATACTGGGCCCTCAGGATAGCGCTGTAGGTACAGCGCTGATGAGTCAGGCTAGTGTCGAGACTCGTCCCGACGCGAATACTGCATTTTCCCCGGGCCTAGTGTACCCAACCACCGACCTGTTACAGCGTAAATTACGCTCCGTGACTGTCGCATTGTTTATTTTTGTCTGGGTGGCGCAACACCACACCGCGCCCAGCCTGGAACCACAGTAATGCTGTAACATCTTCCAATCACAGTGCGACGCTGACTTAACACGCTTGAAAAACACGGCCAACAATGCAAGATGCTGGTGGCACGTGCTTCCCACCTAGCCATGAAACTTGTCCTTTATCCAACTTTGCAAGATGCTTGTGCCAGCGCATAGGCCGCGACTCCTGTGGTCGACGCGCCATGTGTCTGGGTTGGGAAGATTGTGATGTTCTGTTCTGTCTCTTCCTCCATCCCCTCCAGCCTGTTCTCGTCTCTCAACCAAACCCCAGCCAGAACGCCAACAATCTCTGTTTTTCCCCGTAACTTGCCTAGCTGCTCGACGCCGTATGTCTCGTTATTTTTGCCGCAAATTACCGTCCATGGCTGACCCATCGCCGGCGGGCGATGGTGAAGCCCCCGCCATACCTAGCCCGCCCTGCCCGACCGTAGGGTTGACGGGCCTGGATTTATTGGGTAGTAGGCCTGTTCAGCCTCCACCACCGCCGAAACCAACACTAGCTGATTCCGCTGCCGCTGCCGTAGCTGATCCCCTCCTGTCGCCGTCCCAGCCACCCGTGCCTTCTCCCGTGACAGCTGCACCGGTCGTGGTTGACAACGTCCCCGTGCCACCGCCGATTCGCACGCAAGGGGAGTGCTCTAAGGCGGCTGGGACGACCCGCAAACGACCACCGAGCCAAAAACTCTCCGCGCAGCGGTATCAAGAGACAAAGCTCTCGTTTGTCCGTACATCTGACACCACCGCTGTCATTTCTGTCACCAGGCAACATCATGAACCGACCACCGAACCTACTGTCCTTGTTGAAACCGCCGCCACTGCTTCTTCTGACACCGAGATTCCCAACATTGCCAAGGAGAAGTATCAAGAAGCTTTGCTCATGTTTAAACGACGGTGGAACGAGGACTTCCCTTGGCATATTATTTGTCAAACTAAATTTGGTTTCCCCTCCATGAAATGTACAGTGTGTATGGATTATGGAGGAACAGGAACCAACTTCGGGAAAGGCGAGGGGGCCCTGGATGTGCAGACTCAGGCCATGCAACGTCATCAAAGGACCACGAAGCACAGAGAAGCCATCCGCAATCAGGAGCTGGCTTTGGCCAAAGCTGCCGGACAGCATCGCATCCTAGACTGCCCGACAGCCCGTGACGTGGAGCACGACGCTGTGGAGTCGCTGCTGGACACCATGCTGTTCATCACCAAGACCGACGCACCCATAGAGATGTGGGTGCAACTCGTCCGGCACCTTGCTTCCCGTGGGACTCCGGGCTTCCCGAAGAATGGCTACGGCGCGTATTACACAACGTAAGTAATATGCTGTTCATATCTTTCACGTAACACATGATCTACTATATACTAACACTATGTTCCCTAACCGTGTGTTCGCAGGTACGGTTTCGCGGAACTAGTTTCCGCGACAGCGAGCTATCTTCGTGCGAAGCAGCGGGAGTTCATAGACTCGAGCCCATTCATAAGCTTGAGCTGTGATGAGAGTACTGACCGCGTGCGGGGGAAGCATATGATCGTCTTCATCACTTTCTTTGCGTGAAAATGAGGTTACCACTGAGTTTCTCACACTGTTGACAGTTGACAAATGTGATGCAAGATCCCTGTATGTAGTGCTCGTCGGTTACCTCGACAGCATCAACCTCACCCTTGCTAAGATCGCCGGGATTAGCACCGATGGCGCTCCAGTCATGCTCGACGGAACCAACGGACTGACCGGGCGACTTCGACTCTGCATCTCTCATGTGGTCTCGTGCCACTGCATCGCCCACAGGTGGGTGCCTATGCATCCCAGATCCAACATCTGCCGCTGTTTTACCAACTGGCTGCCTGACGCCGTGTCCGTGGCTTTTTCTTTACAGGGAGGCATTTGCCGCGAAATATTCTGCAGAAGCGCTCCCAGAGCTCGCCATGGTTGACGCTCTCATCCGTGCTTTGGCGGAGCATCTCGGCCGCAGCAGCACCTCGAACGCTGCATTATAGCTTATACATCTGTGAAGGCTGTAGTGGGGTATAGCCCATAAGGAGTACAACCCAATTAGGGTTAGTACTTGTACCCAACTGTTTCATAGCTCAATCATTCTCGTTCTAATCTTCACATGGTATAGAGCAGGTTCCCGCGTGGGAACTGTTCCTAGGGCCCACCGACCTTTTTTTTCCTGCCCGGAGCGCGCTTGGCCCCTGCCCGAGTCGCGCCCCATGTGACTCCCCTTCGTGGCCTCTAGCGGCCTCCCTCACGGCCCCTAGTGGCCCTGTCGCGCCGTCCTCACGGCCCCGTCGCGCCGCCCTTGCGGCCCTCTTCGCACCGCCCTTGCGGCCCCTTTCCGCGGCCCCGTCGCCGCCCTTTCAGCGGCCCCGTCGCCGCCCTTTCCGCGGCCCCGTCGCCGCCCTTTCAGCGGCCCCGTCGCCGCCCTTCCACGGCCTCGCCGCCCGCCCTTGCAGCGGCCCCGTCGCCGCCCTTCCGCGGCCCCGACGCCGCCCTTCCGCGGCCCCGTCGCCGCCCCTCCGCGACCCCGACGCCGCCCTTCCACGGCCCCGTCGCCGCCCTCCAGCGGCCCCGTCGCCGCCCGTCCGCGGCCCCGTCGCCGCCCTTTCAGCGGCCCCGTCGCCGCCCTTTTAGCGGCCCCGTCGCCGCCCGCCCTTTCAGCGGCCCCGTCGCCGCCCTTTCAGCGGCCCCGTCGCCGCCCTTCAGCGGCCCCGTCGCCGCCCTTCCGCGGCCCCGTCGCCGCCCTTCAGCGGCCCCGTCGCCACCCTTCCGCGGCCCCGTCGCCGCCCTTTCAGCGGCCAGACGCCGCCCTTTCAGCGGCCCGTCGCCGCCCTTTCAGCGGCCCCGTCGCCGCCCTTCCGCGGCCCCGGCATCAATCCAGTGCGTGCACGGCATAGTGGGCTGCCATGCCATGCCATGCCATGCCATGCCATGCCATGCCATGCCATGCCGGTGACCTCATCTGCTACAAGCAGTGTGAGGGTGGGGTGGGCTCTCTGTACCGCCGCACCACCACCTGTCCCTCCAGCACCGAAATCAGCAGCGGAGCGCTGCTCTGCGGGTTCGGGGAGGGGGGAAGAGAGAAGGAGTGGAGGAGCGGAGAAGTTATAACATCTTCTTTGCCTACTGGCTGCCTGCAGGCGGTGCCCTCATCTGCTGCCAGCAGTGTATCCCGGCACCACCACCTGTGCCTCCACCACTGAGATCAGCAGCAGCGGGTTGCCCTGCGAGGGGGAGGGGGTGGGAAGAGCATGGGCCTGAGCATGGGCCTGAGCATGGGGCTGAGCATGGGGCTGAGCATGGGGCTGAGCATGGGCCTGAGCATGGGGCTGAGCATGGGGCTGAGCATGGGGCTGAGCATGGGGCTGAGCATGGGGCTGAGCATGGGCCTCGAGCAAAGAGAATGAAGTGTAAAGTGACCCCTGTGAAAGACAGATCTCGTCCCACCGCTCAACCACCTCTCATTCTCACTGGCCACCACGCCTCTCACCAGTGGGTACAGAGTCTGAGCATGGGCCTCGACCAAAAAGAATGGTGTGGAAACTGGCTCCTGTGAAGGTGGGATCCCATCCCATCCATCTCATCCCATCACTCACCTGTCTCTTATTCGCACTCGCCACCGCCTCTCGTGCCACGCGCTGCACGTCCACGTAAGCAAGGTGCAATAATATGGCCGTCTTTTCAAACTGCTCTACGATTTCTAATAGGAGCCTATTACACGTTACCGTAATTGACGGTTGATTCTAAAAAAAACGACCATAATTTTGCACCTTGGACGTAAGTCAACAGGTGGCCACACGGAGGGGGGGTCACCGGCACCACGTGCCTGAGCGCCGCCTCCTGCTCCTCCCGCATGCTCACATGCCCCGACCCTGCCTGCTGCACCCACGACCTCAACGTGTACTCCCATCCCTCCCCTCCTCCCTCTCCTCCTACTGTTGCTGCTGCTGCAACGGACGCTGCCGCAGGGGTGGGTGCAGTTGCTGCTGCTGCTGCTGCTGCTGTGGCTGATGCTGGCGGAGGGGCAGCAGCAGGGAGCACGGATTGCGCGGCCTCGAGAGGGCGGCGGGAGAGGAGGGCGTCGAAGAAGGCAGTGCGGCCGCGCAGCAGGTTGAGAGCCGCCAGTGTCACAAGGTACTCCTCCCTGCCCGCGCTTGAGTTGCCTGCCCTGCCATTGCCTGCGCTGCCATTGCCTGCGTTGCCATTGCCTGCGCTGCCATTGCCTGCGCTGCCATTGCCTGCGCTGCCATTGCCTGCGCTGCCATTGCCTGTGCTGGCAATGTCTGCGCGGTCCACATAGAGAACTCCGACTGGCTGTAGGCTGTGGTTCTGGCGTGGAGAGGCGAGAGACGGGGAGAAGGGGAGCAGGGATGAAGGGGAGAAGGGATGAAGGGGAGAAGGGATGAAGGGGAGCAGGGATGAAGGGGAGAAGGGATGAAGGGGAGAAGGGATGAAGGGGAGAAGGGATGAAGGGGAGAAGGGATGAAGGGGAGAAAGGATGAAGGGGAGAAAGGATGAAGGGGAGAAGGGATAAAGGGGAGAAGGGATGAAGGGGAGAAGGGATGAAGGGATGAAGGGGAGAAGGGATGAAGGGGAGAAGGGATGAAGGGGAGAAGGGATAAAGGGGAGAAGGGATGAAGGGGAGAAGGGCTAAGGGGAGAAGGGATGGAGGAGAGAAGGGATGGAGGGGAGACGGGATGAAGGGGAGAAGGGATGAAGGAGAGGAGGGCTATCGCCTGTCGTCTACCTCGTTGTGGCCTCGTTCTGCTGCACAGTGGTGAGTCAGCATGAGTTGAAGGGAGAGAGTGCAACACTCGATCAAGACTCTCGAGGCGAGAGTACAACACCTGTCGTAAGAGAGTACTCGGAGAGAATCGAGGCGAGGCGAGGCGAGGCGAGGCGAGGCGAGACGAGGCGAGGCGAGGCGAAGCGATGCTCACCTTGGTGGCGTTGTGCTGTGCCACGGCAAATCGCGCCATGGCGATTTGGCTCTCGTTACTCAGCCAGTCGAAGTCGATCTCCCAATTAGGGTTTGGAGGGGTGCCGTTTGCTGCTGCCAAGAACATAGGCGGAAGACACACTCGACACGTGGATGCCACGTGGCAAAGGATAAGGAGGCATAACGGGCAAGTCAGGTGCTGCCGCATGCCACGGCGACGGCTCGTCATGATCGCCGTATCTTTTCGAGTGACTCTGTAGCGAGCAAGCTCTTAGTTCGTGTGACTGATATAAGAGCCAGTTCCGGACCGCGGTGTTTGTTTAGGCGTCAGTTCTGCGATAGGCTTCTGCGATTGGAATCTTGAATCATGATGTTCTTGAATGGTCTCGAATGTTTACCAATAATAGCGTCTGGTTCCGCAAGAATGTGATTTTTCCAACCCTCTCCTGAATGATCAAAATTGTGGGAGTCGAGCTGCGCATGGGAGACTTTCTGAATACATCTCGCCAAAGTTCTTGGTGGGAGGGCGATGGTGTTCGCGGTGCGAGCCATTGCAGAGCCAGCTGAGAACGTTTGAAGAAGAAGCGGGAAGGAAATGAGGGAGAACGGATTCGACCAGGACGAATGAGACGGGTGGAGCGTCTCGTCACAGTTGGCAGCGCATGTGACGGTGGCGTGGCGAGATAAGGTGTGCTTCCTCTCAACTAGGTCGCTCTCGCCTCTCGTCTGCGTGATCTGCGCGTAAGACTCGCATGACGGAAATCGAACTGTGGAAGAAAAGGTGAGGAAGAAAAGGCGAGGAAGAAAAGGCGAGGAAGAAAAGGCGAGGAAGAAAAGGTGAGGAAGAAAAGGTGAGGAAGACTCGTGGCGAAATTTGGCACCTGTTGAGATTTTGTTACATCGATTCGCTTATGGTCGCATAGATTCGCCAAGGGAATGGAGGAACACCTCCCATTCATCTACTTCATTCCCTCCTCGAGTTGTTGCCATATCGACGGTTCTGTGCGGTGGCAGCTTTGTGTACATTCTCGAGGTTTGCAAAGTTCGCATGGTCTCGGCGACATGGTTTCATCCTTTGTCCGAACACGCTCTGGAGGATCACACGTTTTAGCAACTGCGCGAAAAGGTCAGATGGAGCGAAACGAGCACTAGCGAGTCAAGCATGTTACTCGAGGCAAAACCTTCGCCTAGGTCGGTAAAATCCGACGAAACTCGGATTTGCGAGATACTGGATTTGCGACGCATAACGTGTGGTCCACTCGAAGTGTTTCGTGATTTCAGTTGTAGCACCGCCAGATCCAACATGCGGGGAGACAGAAGCAGAGGATATCGGGTCTGAACCGGAAATAGAAAAAAACCTAGGGAATGAAAGCTAAGTCAACAGTTGTCTGGTCCGACAATGGCCACTGGGACCAGAGCAATTGCTGTGCTCGGCGATGGCGAAACATCGTGGAATCGGTGGAAGCTTCCTGGCGCAGAGATTGTGCATCCGTTGCCGCATAAGAGCTATCATGCGGAAACGGAGCACCACCATAATCATTTTGCCAGCGTAACAAACCCTCGCCTTCACTGCATACTAGAGTTCCCCTCGACAGAAACCTTGTTTCTTGTGTAGGCGCCGTACTTGTCGGTTCCAAAAACCTCCCGATTTCGAACGACAGCGTTGTTTCCTACGTCGATCATTGGCGCTGATGGCAGGCCATGATGGAGATGAGGTGCTTGCGGGAGATCACGCTCTCAATCTCACAGCACCTTTTGATACCAAGAAGCACCACGAGGTGAGAGTAATGCCGCAAACAGTCCGCCTGAGGCGCTACAACCGTGGTTCCCAGCAGATTCCCCTCCCTTCTCACCACGCCTGTAACGCCAGTGGGGCTTACACGTAAGGGTATGAGAGATTCCGCTGCGCCTCAAATACAACCCTCGTTTTGACCCAGTGGGTAGCGAGGTGTTACATTTGGTCTCAGAACCTGGGGTTTGATTCCCGGCTGGGTCACATTTGACTGTGCTAGTCGCGAACCCAGTCAACGATCCGTCGCTGGCCTGGCCCACCAGCGAAGTCGCTGTAGAGCGAGATTCAGGTCCTTGCGAGGGCCAACTCCCTGCCCAATGAGGACGTTGGCTCCAGGGGGGGATGAGTGTAATGCCTGTGGGGCTTACACGTAAGGGTATGAGAGCATCCGCTGCGCCTCAAATACAACCCTCGTTTTGACCCAGTGGGTAGCGAGGTGTTACACGCCACTACCTTCTCAGGACGAACGAGAGAGGACTGACCTCTCATTCTTTTTTTCTCTCTCTCCCTCTTTTTTTTTTTTTTTTTTTTTTTTTTTTTCCCCACCCAGCAGACCGTGGACGTGGTTGATCTGTTGCCCGGCCCCATCTGGCACATCATCTTCCGCCACGTGCTGCTGGGCGGGTCGCACGAGGGACGCAGGATGCGTTTCGTCCGACATTTGAATCGTCTAAAAAATTAAGTGCTGAATCGGGGTAGCTCCCCCGACGCATTGAGAACCTTCGGCTCCTACTGGCCTCTACTGCGCTGCGCCATGGTCTGGAAGAGGCTCCTCCACCATGTTGCCTCCTTCCCCGTGAGCCTCTCATTGCTCCCCGTGAGTCTCTCATTGCTCCCTGTGAGTCTCTCATTGCTCCCGGTGAGTCTCTCATTGCTCCCCGTGAGTCTCTCACTGCTGCCCGTGAGTATCTCATTGCTGCCCGTGAGTATCTCATTGCTGCCCGTGAGTATCTCATTGCTGCCCGTGAGTATCTCATTGCTGCCCGTGAGTATCTCATTGCTGCCTGTGAGTATCTCATTGCTGCCCGTGAGTATTTCATTGGTGCCCGTGAGTATCTCATTGCTGCCCGTGAGTATCTCATTTCTGCCCGTGAGTCTCTCATTGCTGCCCGTGAGTCTCTCATTGCTGCCCGTAATCCATGGTAAAATTCTTCTCTGGGTGCCGAGCTATGAAGCGGTCCCGGTCACGACTAAGCCTCCTCAACCATCCTCGTATCCATCGCTGCGTGTGAGCATGATTTCGAGCCATTGACGCTGCCAAGCTACACTCAGGAGACTTTAATTTGACTCACAAAGTCGCTCCTCTCATCGCTCTCTCTCTCCATCTCTCTCTCTCTCCATCTCTCGCTCTCTCCATCTCTTTCTCTCCATCTCGCTCTCTCCATCTCTTTATCTCCATCTCTCTCTCCATCTCTCTCCATCTCTCTATCTCTCTCTCCATCTCTCTCCATCTCTCTGTCACACCGTGTGAGAGCAGGACTTGGAGCCCATGACGCGGCCTCTCAACCGCCTAGATCCCGCGCCCACACGTCCCTCGGGAGCGCTCTCTGTCTTCCTCAAGCACGCCCCCCACGCGCCCCTCAATTTCGTTCTTGGCGACTCCCGTGACCTGCGCTGCCTCGGCCCTCTCTTGGGCCCCTCTGCGCGCTCCCTCACAAGCCTGGGCCTTGGGCTCAAGGAGCCTCCACCCGGGACTGTTACGCAGTATCGTATTGAGAGGAAGGACGGGATGATTATATGCACTCCTCAAGAGGATGTTGGTTTTATTCAGGTGAATCAGCTGATGTATCCGGGCGTCCTTGAGGGGTTTGAGTAGCTGCAACGGCTGAAGCTGGGCCATGGGACGTGGCAACTAGGCAAGCTGAATCCAGCGAGGTTCCGAGCTTTTAGAAAACCGAGCATCCTCGAGTGCGATGGAAATGATATGCCCTTTCTTTCATCCGTCGCACCGCAGCTGCATGAACTCGTTCTCGCCTCCTCCCGCCATGGCTCTGGCTCTACCACCCTCGAGTTCAAGCTCACCGCTGCTCGAGCTATCACAGTCTGCTTTGAGAAAGCGCTCCTCCTCCGCTGCGCCATGCCTGCCTCTTTGAAGAGCTTCTCTGCCGCTGCAGAGTGTCTTGTCGTGGATTGCACATGCAAAAGCCCCCCGTCTCTCGACTCGCTCTCTCTCATTGGCCGCTCGCAGCTTCTCGTTTCTTCTCTCCCATTGGCTGCCGCCAAATCCGCCCATTTGAACGGGCCAAACAATCGACCAACCAAAGGAGACTGGTGGAATGATCTTCCCTGTTCCGATCTCGAATCCCAACTCGCCGTGACCGATCTGCTCAGCAGCATAGCGCCTACAGTGGAGACACTTGTATTGAGGTACGGCTGGCCTCTGGAGGGCGTGCGTGTGGAGTGGAACCAGCTGCGCCACCTCAGCATTGGTGTGAACCGTCTTAGAACTTGGGGGTTTAGTTACAACGAAAGGCCGGAGGATCCGGATGACTCTCGGTTTTGGAGGTGCTTTGGTGGGGAAGAAGGGAGGAGCAGCAGCAGCAGCAGCAGCAGCAGCAGCAGCAGCAGCAGCCTGTTCGTCAATGCTCCAAACCTGGAGTCTATCTACTATGCGTCTTCCGAGTGGCAACCGGTCATTCCAGCTTCTCTGCGCAAGCAGTTCCCTTGTCTGGTATCGTATAGCATTGTTGATCCATCGTCTTTCAGGCATGAAAGCAGGTGGGAGAGGAGCGGTGCAATTAGGTCAGATGGGCGTGGCGGATTAGTATGGGATCACAGCGTAACATGGCGATAGCATGGTGTCAGACCGTGTTACGGTGATGGCATGGGATCAGATCGTGTTATGGCGATGGCATGGGATCAGATCTTGAGTATTCACAGCTTCCTACCAGGGCCTCAGATTCGTTTGAGGGTACCCTGTGGACTCAGGGCAGTTTTTACGAAACCCTATTTTGTCCTGAAAGGTCAAGACTGTGCAAGGATGGGTTTGCCGTAGGGTCAGTGCTACAAATGACATTATCCTGACCAGTCAGTGCTACATTTCATTTTATCCTGTGCACGACGGTAAAGGCTGTATTTGTTCTAATTAAGAGCCACTTAGGAAACTTTTTTAATAGACATGCATTTCAATATTCATCCTCCTCCATAAAATCTTGAAAAGCATCATTATCTTTGTCCCCCCCCACTGTCTGCATCCCCCCCATCCTCTGCGTGGTGGTCACGCTTCTCTGCAAGTGACCCCCGGAACCCTGTGGCACACCTTGTTGAAATGAATGAACAGGAATGATTGAACTAACAGTGAAATCAGTACAAGTACCTAACCCTAGAATTGTGTACCCCCTATCGGCTAACCCACTGTAGCCTAAACAAGCACAACATATATAATGTTTGACACACCCCCATAGGCGAAGTGGGGGAGAACTAGGGGTCACAAGACCAGTCAAGTAAAGCAAAGCAAAGCAAGCTCAGGGTGGATCACAAAGTCACCACACATTCCGAGCACAAGTTCAAGGCCACAAGGCCAGTTCACATGCATGAGTACATATATATATAAGGCTAGACAAGCAAGAGCAGGTATATATATATGTAACAGTACAAGCAAGGTCAAGAGGTGAGCAAGTGAGGCAAGACAGGTACAAGACCCAGCTGGGTGCAGAAGCGCTGATGATCACAAGGCGCAAGTGCCTTGGTGAAGACATCAGCAGTGTTGGCCTCAGAGGCCACGTACGCAAGCCGCAACTGACCACGCTGCTGTAGCTCACGAGCAGGGAAGTAGCGGAGAGCAATGTGCTTTGTTCTGTGCTCCAATCTCTGCTCTCGACACAAGGCCAGCATGGCCTTGTTGTCTACGTACAGGAGTGGAGGAGAACGAGGCGGCTCTCCAAGGTCGGTCAGCAGGTAGGTGAGCCAGCGAAGCTCCTTAGCAGCCATGGCCCCTGCGTAGATCTCAGCCTCACAACTGGAGCCGAGAACAGAAGACGAGCAAGTACCCCGCCACGAAACAGAGCCGGAACCAAGGCTGAAGGTGTAACCCTGTGACGACCGCTGCGTAGCCTGGTCGTCAGCCCAAGAAGCGTCTACGTGACCAGTGAGGACCACTGGACTCCGCCCTCCAAGCACTAGCCCCATGCCCGACGTACTGCACAAGTAGCGCAACACCCTCTTTGCTGCAGCCATGTGCTCTGGTCGGTGTCTCCCAGGAGCAACATAGCGTGCGAGAATGCTAAGAGGGTATGCAAGGTCAGGTCGTGTGCAGGTCATCATGTACATGAGGCAGCCAACAAGCTCTGGGTACGGGCCACTCGACTCTACGGACTCATCCGAAGGCAGAGCTGAGAGCGAGTGGCGAGTAGGCAGAGGAGTGGCATGAGGCGAGGAGTACGTGAAGCCGAAACGCTGAAGGACCTACTGCACCATGTGTGACAGAGTCAGGGTGATGGTGCGGCGTGCTCTGTCCCGGGTGATCTGCAAGCCAAGGTAGCTGCGCAGTTCACCCAGGTCTGTGCACGTGTGTCTCTTCTGCAGCTCAGACTTCACGTAGGCGAGTCCAGCAGTGTCAGCTGTGGCAAAGACCAAGTCGTCGACGTACACGAGGATGTAGAGCGGCGGCAGAGAAGTGTCGGTGCGTAGAAACAGCGACGGGTCAGCAGTAGAGGGAGCAAACCCAAGGGCCGCAAGCGTAGTCCTCAGTGTGTCGTGCCACTCACGCGGTGCCTGGCGGAGACCGTAGACTGGCCGCCGGAGGCTCCACTGGATGCCAGGAGGAAAAGACCCAGTGAAACCAGGTGGGCGACGCAGCCAGATCTCCTCGTGCAGGCTACCCTGCAAGAAAGCAGTGCTGAAGTCAAGAGAGTGTAGCTCGTAGTCACGGTGAGCAGCTATGTGCAGCAGTATCCGAAGAGTGGTCATCTGCGGGGTGGGAGAGAAGGTCTGAAAGTAGTCAACTCCCTGCCGCTGACTGAAGCCTCGAGCCACGTAAGGCGCCTTGAAGACAGGCGGAGAACCCGGCGGCCGCTTCACCTTGAAAATCCACATGCCAGTGACGATGTTCGCCCCAGGAGGGGGGACAGCGTCAACGTAGGTGCCTGTGGACTTCCAGGAAGCCATCTCTGCATCCATAGCTGCCTGCCACTGAGAAGAGTAGGGATCCTCTATCACCTCCGCGTAAGAGCGCGGAGTCGGGATGTCAAGTGCATCCGATCTCCCTCAGGGGTAAGCAGTACGGACACGAGATGAGGTGAAGCAGCGGCCAAGCACTGGAACTCCTCCTGCCTGTCCTCAAGGACGTCCGTGCCAAGGGCACACTCACCCCCGACGGACGGAGGATAGACAGACTCAGACTCAGCGACAAGACTAGCAGCGTAGTCTAGACGTCAGCGAGCAGCAAAGTCGACGAGCTCAGCAACTAGGGCAGACGCAGCAGTGGACTCAAAAGAAGGGTCAGTGACGATAGTAGCAAGGAGACGCGTGACGGTAGGACTGGTAGCACGAAGAGATTCCGACTCCGGGTCGGGAAGAGCAGGAAGAGAGGACTCAGGAGGAGAAGGCAAAGGGGCACGCAAAGGAGCAGTGGATGGACGCAGAGACATCCGTTGCGTGCCAGGGACAGGAGGAGGACGCTGACGCGAACCGCAACCACTAGTGCGCGCAGTACGGACAGGCGACGCAGGGCGAGACGCAGGCTCACGACGCTCAGCAAGACCTCCAGTAGGACCAGTGTAGGGAGAAGGAGCAGGCAGTGGGGAGGCGGGCTGTAACTGTAACCGTGACTGGACAGGCTGTGGACACTCTAAGGGAGGAGGAGGACCGAGAGAAGGCGGGAGACCAAGAACCTGCTGAAGGAGCGGAACGAAGTACGGCCGCTGCCGTGCAACGACTCCAGAACCAGCAAAGACACCAGCACCAGGGTCCTCCGCACCAGCAGTAGCTCCAACGCCCGACTCCACAGCACCAGTAGCAGCACCAGCTCCAGGGTCCTCAGCACCAGCAGCAGCTCCAACGCCCGGGTCCTCAGTACCAGCAGCAGCTCCAACGCCCGGGTCCTCAGCACCAGCAGTATCTCCAACGCCCGGTTCCTCAGTACCAGCAGCAGCTCCAATGCCAGGGTCCTCCGCACCAGCAGCAGCTCCAACGCCCGACTCCACAGCACCAGCAGCAGCACCAGCTCCAAGGTCCTCAGCGCCAGCAGCAGCTCCAACGCCCGGGTCCTCAGTACCAGCAGCAGCTCCAACGCCAGGGTCCTCCGCACCAGCAGCAGCTCCAACCCCCGACTCCACAGCACCAGCAGCAGCACCAGCTCTAGGGTCCTCAGCACCAGCAGCAGCTCCAACGCCCGGGTCCTCAGTACCAGCAGCAGCTCCAACGCCCGGGTCCGCAGCACCTGAAACAGCTCCAACCTCTAGGGCCGCAGCACCAGCAGAACCAGTAGAGTCTCCAACACCAGTAGCACCACCAGCAGCAGCGGGGTCCGCGACACCAGGCGCGCCACTCCGAAGAGTGCAGCGCCGCTCGTACCACTCACGGATCCGCTCACGGGAGGTGAGCACCCGGCTAGGAGGAGAAGCACTAGCACCAGTCCCAGTAGTACGCCTGGCTCCAGAGGTACCTCTCCTGAGCCTGCAGTACAGTAAGTACCACTCACGCAGCTGCTCCGAGGAGAGGGCTCCGCCAAGTGTAGGACCCTCAGGCTCAGGACCTCCAGACCCAGAACCCCCAGACTCCGGACTCTGCGGCTCAGCACCCCCACGCCCAGTACTCCCAGGCTCAGCACCCCAAGGCTCAGCACCCCCAGGCTCCGCACCCCCAGGCTCCACACTCCCAGGCTCCGCACCCCCAGGCTCAGCACCCCCAGGCTCCGCACCCTTAGGCTCAGCACCCCCACGCTCCGCACCCACAGCAGGACGAGAGTCGACAGCTACCTCAACAGGCTCAACCGGGTCTACCTGAGACACACCTGAGGGAGCGGCACCCTGAGGGGGGAGGGGGTCTACGACAGCAGCACCTGGCGCGAGGAAGAGAGGCGGGGGGGGGGAGCGGGGCAGTGCGGTAGGGGAAGAGGCGGTAGTAGGGGACGGACTCGTCAAAAGTGACGTCCTGAGAGGGCTGTCAAACATTATATGTTTATGTGGTTCTAGGCTGTAGTGGGTTACACCTTAGGGGGTACACCAGATTAGGGTTTCATATTTGTACTCTTGTTCCTGTTAGTCACACCATTCTAGTTTCTGATTCTGACATGGTATTACGAGCCTAGGTTTCACCTAGGACCGAAACGTTAGGGCCCACCGTTTCCGCTAGCCGCGCCCTAGTGCGCCGCCTTTTCCTAGCGCCCTCGTGCGCCTCGTTCCTCGCGTCGCCCTTTAAGGCCCCTCACGGCCCCTCGCGTCGCCCCTTAAGGCCTCTCACGGCCCCCCCCTTACGACCCCGCGCTAGCCCCGAACGGCCCCGTGCGGCCCCCGCGCTAGCCTCCCCCGGCCCCTTACGGCCCCGCGCTAGCCTCCTACGGCCCCGAACGGCCCCGCGCTAGCCCTGAACGGCCCCTTGCGGCCCCCGCGCTAGCCTCTCACGGCCCCTTAAGGCCCCGCGCTAGCCTCTCACGGCCCCCGAATGGCCCCGCACTAGCCCCGAACGGCCCTCGAACGACCCCCCGCGCTCGCCTCAAACGCCCCCCCCGCGCTCGCCCCTCTACGACCGAGCCGCGCAGCGCGACCCCAGCTGAACCGCGCGACCCGAGCCGAACCGCGCGACCCGACCGAGCCGCGCCCCCCTA